TTCATTGCTTAAGTTATCACGCTTTTGAAATACAATGGTGGAATAATATACCATCATATTAGATTTGACCTTTTGATTTCAAGTTTTGTGTACAACTCAGTCAGTTGCTTTGGTAAACTATCGTTTGACCATTTGTCTCTTCTAAAAATAATCGCCACTCAATATGTCTATTTGAATTCAGTGTGACACCCGACCGTAGCTGCTACCTTGACGCGGTGGTCGGGCTTCCTATCGTGATGACCCAACCGAGCTATATTGGCTGGAACATATGTTCCTGTAGGTTCTATCATGCCAGGCAGATCGACTAGAGAACTGTAAGGGCGAAGTCGTACTGCCCTCACTCTACCTGAGGTGTTTGTATATAGTGCCTTTAAGATGTTAATAAAGTTCTCAGGCACACCCTCCTCCAGTGGACAATCCCAGAGAACAGTCCTGTCCAACGAATCGAAGGCGGCCCTAATGTCAAGAAACACTACGATTGTAGACATGTAATAAGTATGATGGTGTTCTAACATTTAGCGGAGTGTGAAGATATGATCAATACATCCTCGACCAGAACGAAAACCAGCCTGCTCCTCGCGAGTCAATCTTTCTCGGGTTTTGAACAATTTACGAAGTATGACAGAAGCCAATAGTTTGGATGGAATCGCAAGTAGACTTATCCCTTGATAGTTGTTACAGAAACGACGTGAACCCTTTTTAAGGATAGAGACAACTGTCGATTCATTCCGTGATGTTGGGACACTGACTAATTAGCAAACGTTTGTAAACAACGATGTCAGTTCGTTAACCAGGAAGTCACCACCATCTTTAAAAAGTGCTAGAGGTAAGTCATCTGCGTCTGATGATTTGTAGCGCTTCAAGAGTTGGAGTTCCTTGCGGACTTTCGCCTCATTTGGTGGATCAGTCTTCTCCGGCCATGGAGGGCAGTACAGTCTGATCGATGTTGCCGGAGCAACAGACTAGTTGAACTGCTCCTCGAAAAACTGCCCATCGCCCAAGTCGTCAATGGATGTTAGTGATTGGCATCCCGTCATCCTCACAGATTGTTTCGCTTACACCAGACTTCTTGCTGCTAGTGGCTCGGATGAGTTTGAAGAGCTTCCGGTAGTTACCAGATGCAGCTGCTGCTTCCAGCTCATTAGCACGCTTCGACCACCAGGCTTCTCGGTCCTTACGCAAGCTTTGCTCAGTTTCATTACGTGACAGCCCTCGTTTGTGGTCAAACATTCGATTGAAGTGTGTCCTAAAATGGTACGTTTGCTTTCTGGACGCTCATTACTCAAGTAGATAGCCTAGCTAACCGAAATCGACTGAATTCATAGTGTTTTTAGTGCTGCACACTTTTCTTAGCATGATTTAATTCCACCGTATAGTTCCTATCAGTGATTTTGATCTAACTTTTTAGGGATTGATCTTTCTGAAAGCTCATTTATCTGTTTGAAGTACTCAGATGGTGTACCATTGTATGGGAAAACACATCATCCGTAAAATACAAGTGTTTTAAACAGATCCTCCCTGTCTAAACACAAAAGATCACACCATTATTGACCTTCAAAATACGGAGTGAATTAGTTGGGCAAGCTGACCACTTCACCTAAACTGGAGGTCTTGCCGACTGCAGTGGGTAGGTGCCTGATGAGATGTCACCACGAATCCAGAAAATTCGGTTGAATTTCCAAAACTTCCATTACTTATGTTGAAGGTAAATTGTCCGTCTATCGACAAAGGGGAGAGTATATTACATATGAGTGCTGTCTGTATTAATCTATGGCTGCAAAGTAGCTCTTAAAAGTAGAAGACCTTCATGAGTAGTAACCACTTGACTATAAGTATCGTCGAACCATTGCTGACTTATGGCGGAACAACAGAATAAGCAATGCTGTAATCTTAGGTGCTGGGTACTAGTAAACAAAAAAGAAAAACTGATTGATACATACTTAAACAAATATTGACTGAAGATCAAGCCAACAACAGAGTAACAGTTTGAAATCGTGATTCTCTTATTGACACCGTGATACCACATAATTAACGAAATCTCAGCACGGATACAGAAGGCTTGACTAGCTTTTGCCAACTTGCGTTATTTATGGTGTAGGCAAAATATCCGTCTATCAACCAAAGGAAAGGCGTACTGCGCAGCAGTTCGTTCCGTTCTATTTTATGGCTGTGAAACATGGCCAGTAAGAGTAGAGGATATTCGTATGTTACTGGTATTCGATCATAGGTGTCTTCGAAACATTGCTCGTATATCCTGGGTCCATCGAGTAAGTAATACAGTTGTTAGGAAATGGCTACTAGGTAAGGATGTCAAATCGATTGATGAAGTAGTGAAACTTCATCAGTTGAGGTGGCTGGGACACGTGTTACGTATGCCCAACGACCGACTGCCTCGACGTGCGATGCTCAGTGGTATAGGAGTAGGTTAGAAGAAATCTAGGGACGGCCAGATCAAAACATGGCACAAGTCCATGAAGTCAATGACAAGTGTACTGAGTCATGTTGGTAGGTGTAGACTATCTGGTTGGGGACCGCGAGATGATAGCAACCGATGGTTAGAGACCCTGAACGACATGGCTCAAAATCGTTTGCAATGGCGCAGGTGCATACACTCTTTGTGTTCTCCCAAATTCTTATCTTCATGTCCTTATTTTTCTTTTTCCACACACACTTGGGCAACTTTGAAGACGAGTCTGATCTAAGTATGTTGGGAAAGCAAACACTGATGATAAGTAAGAACAAAATCATTAATGCTCAGTTAATGAAATAAGAATATTAACCTAAATGACAGTCTGAATAAAAAGGCTTGGTGATGTAATTGATTGGAAGAACGAGTTGAACAAATTTTGACGATGTAGTAAAGATATATTTATCACCGAAGCAAAGAAGCATTAACAGCAATCTGTTTTCGAACACATAAATGAGATTTCGGACGCCTGATAGCAACGGCTTCAAGAGAATGGAGCTTGGCTGCTGAATTATCCCCAAGAAACACTACAAGATATCAACCTGATATCCTGTATGCAAGAGATGTTTAGTATTTGCACTTGTTCGTAGGCTTTCAGGAACATGTCTGATAAACCTAAGATATGCCCTTCGTTGTTGAAATATCACGTCTGTCGTTATCAAGAAAGTGGAATATGTCATTCTTTTCGTATTCTATGGTAAATTGTATATTGAAATGAGCATTAATGAAGAATTCTAACAGGTGGATTGCATACTGTCTACTATTACAGACAATCAACGTGTCATCAGCATATCTGTAGTAGTCCGTCATTTCGTTAATTCCTTGTCTAAACTCCGTGTTTTCAAAATAACTCATGAAAATATCTGGACCTATCGGACTTACCATTGCTACACCATCAATTTTACGGCGTATCGTTATTGAGCCGGAATTGAACGTTTTTTGTGCATATATGGATGGATATTCCAAATTCAACAACGCAGTTCGAACGTCGGGTATTCGCTGTTCGTCCTGTTACTTCTAAATAACCGTACAAGGAAAGGTCAGGGAACAAGAATTTCTCGACAATGGCCACAAACACTTGGTCATATAAAAGCATTTTTGGCGGGACAACTGATTGTCCCTACTCTTGGCTGTATCAGGGCATTTGGAGGCGCGGAGCACGATAGAATAGTCCACACGTTTAACTGCATATAAATTCATTTTTTTCAATGTAGTGATGTAACTTTACTTTTTCAGTCGAATGCTTACATATAAAAAGTATTTCTTTAACAATATTTATACTCGGCAGTTTCTCTCTATTTTCTTTCTTAACAGAGTTCTTGCTGTTTGATTTTGGCGTCTGCCATTTTCAGTTTCGCCACAAATATTTTCGTTTTCTATATCGGACTAGCTTTATATGCATTTGCATCCTCCATCTTCTTTCCGAGTGTAAACGGTTTGGTTTCTTTGTACACTACTGCCGAACAACAAGTATGTTTAGAAATATATTTAGGTGTCAGTGAAAAATTGCATGTACCCTAACCACTTCCTTGTTATATGACGGAGACTTCCTAAAAACACAGAAATCGGAAATGTGGTTCAAATACTTGAATGATATTCTTGATTAAAACGAATAAGCTGTTAACATTTTCAATTCCGTCTTCAAGATAATTGGAACTTTGCAACCAACTCCTATTAAACACAAAAAAATAGGTTTTGGCTTTCTGTTATGTTGCGCAGTACTCGAGACTAACACAGAAGGTTCTTGTATGTATCAGAAGTCTTCACTCACTCAGTGAGTTAGAAAATTACGAGAAAAAGAATTTTATTGGGCTGGACCGGATCAAACGCTCAAGATGCTATATATATATATATATATATATATATATATATATATATATATATATATATATATATATATATATAGCATCTTGAAGTCCCATTCATCTGACTGACATACCTGAACTATTTATTTACACTGTATAATGTATCTTTTCCTTACAAATATTTTACGATGTAACATAGATGAGTTTTCTCACAATACATATTTGGTAACCACAATTTTCCGGGAACATCTTTAGCTTTCTCAAACAGGACCTCTGTTAATAAATTGCATTAATCATCTGTTAGCTTTAGAAATGTGACGAACATAATGTATCGCAGAATAGAGCTTTTTTGTAACACAATGATCAGTGTTTGCTGTAGTCGGAGAATACTCCTATAAAGGTGCTTCTGTCTTCAGTCTAAGAAGCATCCTATACTGTTGCAACATAATCAATAGAATTTCTGTTTAAAATGCGTTACATGATACTTCTTACTTGGTATCTAAACAACAGGGTGTAGCGATTTTGAGATCAGTTTACATAGTTCTATCCAACATTTTAGATGCATTTGCAATTTTCTCTACTTATCACCGTTAAAACTGTTCTAAATGATGGGTTTTAACACTACGTTCCTGCCACTGATAACAACCTACAGAGTATTTTGTTTGTTTAAGTAATATTTAGTCAGGGCCAGTATTGATGTAAAACCTCCAATTTTATCTGAATTTTAGGGGCAAACGTTGGGTATATTCCGTTCACTGAATGCATTGGCTCGTGTCATGGGTGCGGTGATTGTTACTACAGTTTTCTGGATTTATGGACCCAACATAACCTATATGTTATGTACTGTCTTCTTAACTTTACTGCTTAGTTACAGGAAAATTACCTTAGTAGTAACTAAATGTCAATCCAAACAAACGTACAAGGAGGAGTAAATCAGCAACAGACCATCAGGGTATCCTTTCTCACAAACTGCTGTACCGCAACTGCTAAACAGGTTTCTTTGTTAATAATTGACTCAGAATACCATGTACCATCACCGACAATTTCCCAAGTAGTTTGATAAATGCAATTGCTGTTAAAATTAACCAAATTCTTTTAAAATTAAATCAGTGACGTAAAATGAAGATTGTTTTTGGTACATAATCTCACTTCTTTCACTTACGCCTGTTACCCCTCATGGAGAAGCATAGTCCGCCCACCGGGACTCTCCATCCAGCTCTGTCCTGGGCAGTCCTTTTCATATCTGCTCCCAATTGCTGACACAATGTGTTCCGTGGTCATCCTCTTTTCCGTTTCCCTTCAGGGTTCCACATTATCGCTCGCCTTGTGATGCAGTTTGATGATTTCCACTATGTATTGTCCTATCCTCTTGAGGCATCTTTTCCTAATTTCCTCTTTAGCTGGAAGCTGGTTCGTTCTCTCCCATAGTAGGCTGTTGCTGATAGTATCCCGTCAACCGATCTGGAGTATCTTGCGTAGACAATTGTTTGCAAATACCTGTACTGTTTTGATAATGGTTGTGGTAGTTCTCCGCGTTTCAGCTTCGTACAGTACGACCGTCTTCACATTCGAATTGGAGATTCTGGAATTTTGATGGATGCTGATTTTCCTAGTGATACATTCTTCTCTAACGAGATTTTTAATAAATTTGAAGAACATATTTCAGGAAAATCAATTCCTAATTATGTCATAGCAAATGTCGTTTTTTCTCATAATATATTTGTTTCTGGTCGAAAACTTAGTCAATGTGAAAGAAGTTCGAAATGAACTCACACGTAATCATAGTTCGGATGATCTCGTACCGAATGCTGTGGTTACTTTTAGTGGATTCTCTAGTTAATGTGAGAAATATGCTTGAAATAAAGCCACATTATTTGTAACTTGAGAATATGAAGATCCAACTTTATTTCGCGGGGGATAATGATGCTAGGATTCAAAGTTACCTATATTTTTTAGATCAGGGTTTAAGCTCCAGATTTAAAAAAAGTGTTATATGTTAACAAAAAATAAATGAATGGTAACTGTTTGGATTCATTTATGGACTATTATCACATATATTCTTATTGTGCAATCATTAAGTAACCATTTGTATTCTTACATTTGATCTGTTGACCATTATCACACGATTTACTATTCTTAAGTTATTCTCAATTTATTAGTTGCAGTCTCACACACTCAACCACTTTTGTCTTGATCTTGTATAATTGTTGTTTTCTATTTTGTGGCATGATGCTGTCTGATTTGTTTGTATATCAACTGGGAAGTTCTGAAATAAACGAATTAGACTGTTGTATGCTGGAATTGTTTTCTGCACTGAAACGAAGAAGGCTAGATGAGAACTGTCTTGACGTTCGTGTTGAGGATTCTGGCTTTTGTGTTGGCTGACAGTTGTGTTGAGTTCCATATGTTCTTTAATTGAAGGAATGTGGCCCTTGCTTCGCCGACCCTCGCCTTTACGTCTTCAGATCCTCCATATCCGTTGATGGAGCTACCCAGATACATGAAGGCTCTCACCTCTTCCAGAGCTTCTCCATCAAATGTGATTGAGTGGGTGTACTCCGTGTTGTGTTTTAGGATCTTGCTTCTTTTGTGTATGTTGAGGCCTAATGCTGCGGATGCAGCTGCTACACTGGTTGTCTTCATCTGCATTTGCTCGTGTGTATGGGATAGAAGAGCCAGGTCATCTACGAAGTCTCAATCATCTAGTTGCATGCGAGCTGTCCATTGTATTCCGTGCTTCCACTGAGATGTGGAGGCCTTCCTAATCTTTTCAACCACCAGAAGAAAGAGGAATAAAGGATGTACACAGCCTTGTCTCACTCTAGTTCTTACTCGGAATGAATCTGTCGGCTGTCCTGTTCATTGGGGTCGACTTATTCAAGAGTTTCCCAGTGTTTACCCATCTTTCCCTCTGTTCTTGAGCTTCAGTGATTGATTTGTCTTTTTTGTCCTTGACTGATCTCTCTGGTTTACAATATCTCCCTGTCTGTTTCTTTGTTGTGTCATTTAGTTGTATTACATTTACCTCTGTTGCAGCTTTTTCCGCTGTCTGCTAGCTTTCCCATGTATTTCTGCTTATCAGCTTTAATGCTGTTCACCGCTTGCTTGTTTGCTGTCTCTTTGTTCTTCTCTTGAATCTTGGCGAGGGTCTCGATGGAGATCTATTCATTATGGTGATGCCTGTTGCCGCCCAGCACCTTACGACACGGAACTATTGTTTCTTTGATTCCTTCCCAGTTGTTCTCTATAGACGTTTCTTTCAGTAGATCCTGTAAGGCTTGGAACCTGTTGTTGAGAGTAATCTTGAATTCGTTGAGTTTGTCATTATGTCAAAGGAAGGCTATTTGAGCTTTTGTGATGGTGCTTCTCCAGTTGCCCAGTGCTTCTTTATCTCCGGTTTCTTATTGTCTTGTCTTTCTCTGTTCTTGTTCTACTGTTCTAATTGCTATCTTGTTCTTTTTTCCTTGAGTCTAGATCATCAGTATAGTCACATCCTTTCCTGAGCACTTCGCTAAGATCGATCGCAACCTTTCGTTATCTGGTTAGTGTTCTTTAGCAGTGTTGTTTTCTAAGGTATGGGGTTGCTGAACCCAAACAATCCTCCTTTGTGTGGGCTTAGTACTGGCAGCAACACAGTAGTGAAGAAGAATACAGGTGAGGATAAACGAATTTTATTTTTAGCACAACGTTACAGAGTTTCTTGGTAAAATAGAAAAACCATACTATAATACCTAATTTACAAAATGTCCAATAATGGTCTCGGACTTCATTGTTCTTGCATTTCTATTCCCGTTCTTCCTTTCTTGATCTTCCCAATCTTCTGCTGCCATATATTACATTCCTGACTCGCGTTGTATGCTACTTATGTCAATATAAATAGCATGCATCACAACCCTAGCAGAACTACGGGTGCAGTTTCATTCCTTTTTCACGGTACGTAATTGTGAATACAAGCTTATTTCATTCTTGATTTCTTTTCAGACCCATAGCTTTAATTCCTTGGGGATTTTAAAAAATTCAGTGTGCATATGAAGATCCTAAGCACTTTGTAACATTTAAAAATAGAGTATTTGAGGGAATAATTGTTTCGAATAACTTAATCACCAGGCTCTACAGTTATAAGTCCGTTTTTTTAGCTACTCACATCATAGTGTCCAAGACGCTTCAATAAAGTCCTAGTACCACAATTTCGAATGCTTTCATATAGTCGAGGATGTTGATGCATAGTTACGCGTTCCAGTCATTTCATTGCTCGCCCATTATCAGTAACGTCGTGACTTGGCATATGAACGACCGCCATTCTACTACTCTACGTCCGTACGTTTGTGTTGAGACTGAGTTCAAGCAATAAATTAGGGAGTGTCAATGGTTTCTTGTGATTCCGTAAGAAGTTGCATTTGAATCACTCATACTCTAACGGCTACAAATCTTCCGAAATGAGATGTCGTCATTACGGTTAGAATTTAGCCCTGAAACTCCTTTTGTTTCTCACCTTTAGGTACGTTCGTTTTTACTGTCATCCTCTCATAAAAGGTGGAGAATAACTACATTTCCATACCTTAATGAGGCTGTATCAAACTGTTAGAAATTCAGTTGAACGTTCAATCTCCAAACTTGCAAGAAATGTGCTCCAATGTTATTATTGCACTCTTTGCTTGTCAAACATTTTTAGAGCGAAGGATAACAATACTCTATTTAGAGATGAAACATATCCAGACGAGAATCACACAGTTTGTATGCGTTCTTTCCGATACATCTCAGATGAATTATTTAGTAATTGGTAGTAGTGAATTTAAGTTCGCTGCTAGTTGCTCAACTTGTTCTGAAATTCAAGTCTTCTAAAACAGTCAGCTCATCGTCTCAGTTGTAAACGTCTCTCAAATTGAAAATTGCCGACAAGACGTCATAAATCAGGCGATACTTACTGAGGAAGGTCACATATATAAACTGAAGTAAGAATTTTTAGTACAAAACATGGGACCATGAACATAAGAGTGGTTTTACCTAAGAGAATTGAAGTTATTTCGCTTAGATACATACGAATGCTGCTGGCACTCAAGCAACGTTTGCTTAATTTTCTTGGATGTAGGCAAAACGTGAAGCCCATATATGGGTGTCATTAGCAGTCACATGTGACGAGATAAATATTAATTAATCCTACCTATGGAACTCTCATGACAACAGGTTCATCGAATATGAGTTGTGAAATTTTATTCACTTCTTATGACCTCAAGTCAAATATGATGACAATGTTCTGATCTTAGTGTTTATCACACACCAAAATGAGCAAAATCCTCTGTTGTCCACAAGCCATGGTCGCAAGCATCTTACCATCTGGCATAAAAAACCAGGATGTCTTCACAAAACCTATAGACAGAAACTAAGACTCGAATGTACACCATACAAAATTTTCCAATTGACTTAACAGGTTATCTTTCACCACAGTAAATTATATTATCAAAACATCCGGACGTGACTGAAAACATTACTAAGCGGCTGTGCGATCATTGAACAGCAGAGTCTATAGTTTCATTGACCGTAAAACCCTTATTTTCGTCCCAAGGCATGATCTAACACTGTAAAGCACATCAGAGTCAAATAACTACCAACCACACTGATTGATCACTGACGTAATAACAAGGCTATAGAACAAACATTTAATACTAACACTTCAAATTCTAGGCCCTCAAATGACCTGGTACGGTCGAGGGTGGGAACAGTTAGCACTCTATCTCGAAATGCTCTCACATGGTAACGCGTACACAGCCAGGAAAGTCTAACCCACTGCCCTCTCGCAGCATTACCGTTGTATAAGTAATTGAAAGGATGAAAAGCGAATGTCCAGAGCTTTATCTTGGTTAGTGAACACAAAGGGTTCACCTAGGGGAGTTGGGAAACTTTGCCATCAAATCAATGATTCTCATGAGCTCCA